CGTGAGGCAGACACCCTGTCTACTTTTAAGGCTAGGCTTAAAACTTTCCTTTTTGATAAAGCTTATAGTTAGAGTGGCTCAGGTTATCCTGGGCTATCTCTATAGTTATGCTGCTATAGGCTTAGACTGCTGGAGGACATAGGGACCCCTTTTTTTTATTATTCTGCTTCCTTCTATCTCAATTCTCCCACGCTTTTTCTCATAGTAGCTTCATCTGGTCTGTTCCTGTTTGTCTGTGACTCCATCCTGGAGAGAACACCTTTAGCTTAGTGTGAGGGATTCCCTTTGAGTCGATGCAATCAACTGGTTTTCCTTAGATAGAAAACTTTGACTCAATGTGACTGGATGATCTGGTGAACTGTAAAGTGCCTTGAGATGACATGTGTTGTGAATTGGCACTATAGAAATAAACTGAATTGAGTTGAATTGAATTTCTTAAGAGGGAACAGAAATATTAATTTGGCTCTACTGGGTTTATCCCAGTACTACAACTGTAAAAGTTTAACACCCCAGAAACTGACAATAAATACAAAGTTGAAGTTTTAAATAATCCAATGAAGCTTATTCTGTATTTTATGTTTTCTATGTAGCATTTGTTGGAAGTATGAGAGTATAAGCTTTAAATAACACAAGGATAAAAAAACTAAACAAATTTATTGTTGGACTGGACTGGATGACAGCAAACTGTTTAAAAGTTATAGCTCCTCTGTATTTATTCCAAATTTAGGTCTGAACATGTGAAACAAAAACCCTTCCTTGCCCTTAAACCTCTCTGATGCTTTTAGTTCGGATGTTGGTTAAAATCCCAGCAAACCATGAAAGTATACACAGGTGCTTGCTTAAGTTTTTCTACCCCTTAAATATCTCCAGAGTTTGTCAAATAAACATCAATCTCAATGATAGAGTCGAGGCTGCTTTTTCAGTGTTTAGTCCTGTTTCTCTCCTGGATATAGCTATGGGCTCAGCTTTTACTGTGACTGAGTGCACTGGGTCAAAGCTTGTCTGTTAACTGTTTCTTTCCCAGACGGAACCACCTGTGTAGATAATTTACTGTTAGCTTCTCTAACATAGAAATACTTATAGATCAGTGCTTCTATCTTCATTTTGTATCTCTGCTTCTGTCTCCTTGAACCCCAGTCAGCCTCAGCAGATGGCTGCTCACACTGAGTCTGGTTCTGCTGGAGGTTTCTTCCTGTTAAAAGGGAGTTTTTCCTCCCTGCTGTCGCAGCATGTATGCTGGGTGTGAGGGATTGCTGAAGAGTCAGGCTAGCGACTGCCTACTGTCGCCACATGCTTATCCAGGAACAGCAGGTCCTGTAAAATCAATGACTAGATGCTATCAGCTGGTTTTTCTTAGAGAGAAAACTTTTAACAACCTTTCTAACTGACTTGACTTAATTAAAGTACCTTGAAGTGACCCACTGTTATTGGTGATTTAAACACTAATTGAGTAGAAATAAAATACTTTGTTAATTAACAGCCCGTATTAGTTCCATGCATCAACCTGACCATCCTATCTCTATGTTCTGAAGAGCTCCTTCCCACAGCATAATACTGCCACCACCATGCTTTAGAAAAAAGTCTTCCCCTTTATTTTACTTCATGGGCCACATTCTTCCACATCACCCTTTAATGGTTTGAGACAATATTTAAGGATACATAATTTTTAAAATGTGCATATCGGGGCGTACTTTGGTGGCGCAGTGGTTGGTGCACACAACCCATNGCAACTGTGTGATGCCATCATGTCAATATGGACCAAACTCCCTGAGGAATGCTTCCAGCACCTTGTTGAATCTATGCCACCAAGAATTGAGGCAGTTCTGAAGGCAAAAGGGGGTCCAACCCGTTACTAGCATGGGGTACCTAATAAAGTGGCCGGTGAGTGTATATCAGATAATCAAACAGATGATCTGATAAACTTACTACGGCGTCGTACTTCAGCGTCTCAGCTGGATCTCAATCTAACTTTGACTAGGCCACTTGGAAAATATTTAGCTGTGAAGTTGCCTGACTTAGACACTGGATGTAGAAAGTGAAACTGACCCAAAAATGTTGAAGTTAACTCATGATCCAACAAGAGGAAGACTGTTTTTCACCAAAGGTCAGGTCTGTTTCGGATAGTTCTTTCCCATTAATAAATGAAATTATCCTATAAAAAGCTCTGTGTTTTTACCTCTATTAGACTTTGCCTGATTTCAAACTGTGTCTGATCTAAAAATACTATAATAATAGTTCATCTATAAGCGGGGAGGAGTTTTTTCACAGTAGAAATCAATTCAAAGTGTAGAAGATGATGTTTCACTTCTTTTTTTTTTCAAAATGACTCAACCAACTGTTTCCGTTGCTAAGCTTCTCATCCTGGTAAACAAATCAAACACTTTTTCATTCATGGCTGCTGGTTTCTTTTCTAGACACCATGTTAAAACTAATAAGGACCTGCAGGTGAAAAGAGGACGACTTACCAGATGCACGTAAGGAACAAAGTAGCCATAAAGGGCAGCAGGTATGCCGAACGCCCAAATACGGTATCCCACAGACTTCCAGATGTTCTTGTTGAAGATCCGACTTAAGCTGAATTTTCCTGTTTGGGACTCGGTGGGATTGGCTGGCAGCAGGGGCTTGTAGGTGAAGCTGGCTAGTATCAGCACAAACATGAGGATGCAAAGAACACGCAGAGTGTTCTGCAGGCCCAGCTTCTCCAGCATGGTAGACATACAGAAAGGCAGGGTGATGGTGAAGATGCCGCTGCCGGCGGTCACGATGCCGTTCACCAGGCCCAGTCGCTTCTTAAAGTAGTGGCCCAGAATGACCAGGCTGGGCTGGTAGGCAAACGAGCAGCCGCAGGCGAACACAATGCCGTACGTGAAGTACATCACACCGAGGGTCCTAAGAGCAAAGAAAAACAAGAGGAGAAAAAAGAAAAAGCTTCAGAGTCCACACTGACGCCGCAGCCACGCCGTTTCCTGTCCTGCCATGGCGTCTCTAAGGCTAGAACATCAAATCCTGTTTGCCTCAGCGTGTCATTAATTCCTGTCCAACTAGATGTGTATCAAATGAAATACATAACTACACAGTGTTCAGCTGCATCAGGCTAGATCA